CCCAGCAGGGGTAGTAGCAATGGTGAAGGCAGCTACCAAGCAGGGGTAGTAGCAGTGGTGAAGGCAGCTACCCAGCAGGGGTAGTAGCAGTGGTGAAGGCAGCTACCCAGCAGGGGTAGTAGCAGTGGTGAAGGCAGCTACCCAGCAGGGGTAGTAGCAGTGGTGAAGGCAGCTACCCAGCAGGGGTAGTAGCAGTGGTGAAGGCAGCTACCCAGCAGGGGTAGTAGCAGTGGTGAAGGCAGCTACCCAGCAGGGGTAGTAGCAGTGGTGAAGGCAGCTACCCAGCAGGGGTAGTAGCAATGGTGAAGGCAGCTACCCAGCAGGGGTAGTAGCAGTGGTGAAGGCAGCTACCCAGCAGGGGTAGTAGCAGTGGTGAAGGCAGCTACCCAGCAGGGGTAGTAGCAGTGGTGAAGGCAGCTACCCAGCAGGGGTAGTAGCAGTGAAGGCAGCTACCCAGCAGGGGTAGTAGCAGTGGTGAAGGCAGCTACCCAGCAGGGGTAGTAGCAGTGGTGAAGGCAGCTACCCAGCAGGGGTAGTAGCAATGGTGAAGGCAGCTACCCAGCAGGGGTAGTAGCAGTGGTGAAGGCAGCTACCCAGCAGGGGTAGTAGCAATGGTGAAGGCAGCTACCCAGCAGGGGTAGTAGCAATGGTGAAGGCAGCTACCCAGCAGGGGTAGTAGCAGAGGTGAAGGCAGCTACCCAGCAGGGGTAGTAGCAGTGGTGAAGGCAGCTACCCAGTAGGGGTAGTAGCAGTGGTGAAGGCAGCTACCCAGTAGGGGTAGTAGCAGTGGTGAAGGCAGCTACCCAGCAGGGGTAGTAGCAGTGGCGAAGGCAGCTACCCAGCAGGGGTAGTAGCAAGGGCGAAGGCAGCTACCCAGCAGGGGTAGTAGCAGTGGTGAAGGGAGCTACCCAGCAGAGGTAGTAGCAGTGGTGAAGGCAGCTACCCAGCAGGGGTAGTAGCAATGGTGAAGGCAGCTACCCAGCAGGGGTAGTAGCAGTGGGAAGGCAGCTACCCAGCAGGGGTAGTAGCAGTGGTGAAGGCAGCTACCCAGCAGGGTAGTAGCAGTGGTGAAGGCAGCTACCCAGCAGGGGTAGTAGCAGTGGTGAAGGCAGCTACCCAGCAGGGGTAGTAGCAGTGAAGGCAGCTACCCAGCAGGGGTAGTAGCAGTGGTGAAGGCAGCTACCCAGCAGGGGTAGTAGCAGTGGTGAAGGCAGCTACCCAGCAGGGGTAGTAGCAGTGGTGAAGGCAGCTACCCAGCAGGGGTAGTAGCAGTGGTGAAGGCAGCTACCCAGCAGGGTAGTAGCAGTGGTGAAAGCAGCTACCCAGCAGGGGTAGTAGTAGTGGTGAAGGCAGCTACCCAGCAGGGGTAGTAGCAGTGGTGAAGGCAGCTACCCAGCAGGGGTAGTAGCAGTGGTGAAGGCAGCTACCCAGCAGGGGTAGTAGCAGTGGTGAAGGCAGCTACCCAGCAGGGGTAGTAGCAGTGGTGAAAGCAGCTACCCAGCAGGGGTAGTAGCAGTGGTGAAGGCAGCTACCCAGCAGGGGTAGTAGCAGTGGTGAAGGCAGCTACCCAGCAGGGGTAGTAGCAGTGGTGAAGGCAGCTACCCAGCAGGGGTAGTAGCAGTGGTGAAAGCAGCTACCCAGCAGGGTAGTAGCAGTGGTGAAGGCAGCTACCCAGCAGGGGTAGTAGCAGTGGTGAAGGCAGCTACCCAGCAGGGGTAGTAGCAGTGGTGAAGGCAGCTACCCAGCAGGGGTAGTAGCAGTGGTGAAGGCAGCTACCCAGTAGGGGTAGTAGCAGTGGTGAAGGCAGCTACCCAGTAGGGGTAGTAGCAGTGGTGAAGGCAGCTACCCAGCAGGGGTAGTAGCAGTGGCGAAGGCAGCTACCCAGCAGGGGTAGTAGCAATGGCGAAGGCAGCTACCCAGCAGGGGTAGTAGCAGTGGTGAAGGGAGCTACCCAGCAGGGGTAGTAGCAGTGGTGAAGGCAGCTACCCAGCAGGGGTAGTAGCAATGGTGAAGGCAGCTACCCAGCAGGGGTAGTAGCAGTGGTGAAGGCAGCTACCCAGCAGGGGTAGTAGCAGTGGTGAAGGCAGCTACCCAGCAGGGGTAGTAGCAGTGGTGAAGGCAGCTACCCAGCAGGGGTAGTAGCAGTGGTGAAGGCAGCTACCCAGCAGGGGTAGTAGCAGTGGTGAAGGCAGCTACCCAGCAGGGGTAGTGAGCAGTGGTGAAGGCAGCTACCCAGCAGGGGTAGTAGCAGTGGTGAAGGCAGCTACCCAGCAGGGGTAGTAGCAGTGGTGAAGGCAGCTACCCAGCAGGGGTAGTAGCAGTGGTGAAGGCAGCTACCCAGCAGGGGTAGTAGCAGTGGTGAAGGCAGCTACCCAGCAGGGGTAGTAGCAGTGGTGAAAGCAGCTACCCAGCAGGGTAGTAGCAGTGGTGAAAGCAGCTACCCAGCAGGGGTAGTAGCAGTGGTGAAGCAGTACCAGCAGGGTATAGCAGTGGTGAAGCAGCTACCAGCAGGGGTAGTAGCAGTGGTGAAGGCAGCTACCCAGCAGGGGTAGTAGCAGTGGTGAGGGCAGCTACCCAGCAGGGGTAGTAGCAGTGGTGAAGGCAGCTACCCAGCAGGGGTAGTAGCAGTGGTGAAAGCAGCTACCCAGCAGGGGTAGTAGCAGTGGTGAAGGTAGCTACCCAGCAGGGGTAGTAGCAGTGGTGAAGGCAGCTACCCAGCAGGGTAGTAGCAGTGGTGAAGGCAGCTACCCAGCAGGGTAGTAGCAGTGGTGAAGGCAGCTACCCAGCAGGGGTAGTAGCAGTGGTGAAAGCAGCTACCCAGCAGGGGTAGTAGCAGTGGTGAAGGCAGCTACCCAGCAGGGGTAGTAGCAGTGGTGAAGGCAGCTACCCAGCAGGGGTAGTAGCAGTGGTGAAGGCAGCTACCCAGCAGGGGTAGTAGCAGTGGTGAAGGCAGCTACCCAGCAGGGGTAGTAGCAGTGGTGAAGGCAGCTACCCAGCAGGGGTAGTAGCAGTGGTGAAGGCAGCTACCCAGCAGGGGTAGTAGCAGTGGTGAAGGCAGCTACCCAGCAGGGGTAGTAGCAGTGGTGAAGGCAGCTACCCAGCAGGGGTAGTAGCAGTGGTGAAGGCAGCTACCCAGCAGGGGTAGTAGCAGTGGTGAAGGCAGCTACCCAGCAGGGGTAGTAGCAGTGGTGAAGGCAGCTACCCAGCAGGGGTAGTAGCAGTGGTGAGGGCAGCTACCCAGCAGGGTAGTAGCAGTGGTGAAGGCAGCTACCCAGCAGGGGTAGTAGCAGTGGTGAAGGCAGCTACCCAGCAGGGGTAGTAGCAGTGGTGAAGGCAGCTACCCAGCAGGGGTGTAGCAGTGGTGAAGGCAGCTACCCAGCAGGGGTAGTAGCAGGGTGAAGGCGTACCAGCAGTAGTAGCATGGTGAAGGCAGCTACCCAGCAGGGGTAGTAGCAGTGGTGAAGGCAGCTACCCAGCAGGGGTAGTAGCAGTGGTGAAGGCAGCTACCCAGCAGGGGTAGTAGCAGTGGTGAAGGCAGCTACCCAGCAGGGGTAGTAGCAGTGGTGAAGGCAGCTACCCAGCAGGGGTAGTAGCAGTGGTGAAGGCAGCTACCCAGCAGGGGTAGTAGCAGTGGTGAAGGCAGCTACCCACCCCTTACCTCTCACATTATATATATATATATATATATATATATATATATATTATATATATATATATATATATATATATATATATATATATATATATATATTATAATTATCTGAGGTTTTATTCACTGAAAGTCGTAAATATATTTAAAACTAAGATAAATGAGAGTGGGTTATTCAAGAGTCAAAGTTTAATGAGCGTGTAAGCAGCGTTAACAATGCAATATATGGTATCATCATTAATAACTTATTATGATGATCATTCTTAAGGACTAACATAATTATATTGTTATCATCATCACTAACAGGTACCTGGATGGTTCCTTCAAGAGGTCAACAAGAATTGTATAAAGATTTTCGTTTACGACCTGGAAATACCTTATCCTTTACCGGAGCCCGGCCCTGAGCCAGGCTCGTCTGGTGCTTGCCTGATCAACCAGGCTGTTGCTACTGGTGGCCCGCTAACCTACGTATCCGCCACAGCCTGACTGATCCAGCACTAGGTGGAGTGCTGTGTCTAGTTTCTTCGGAAAGATATCTACACTTGTTCCAGCAGTGTTTCTGACACCTGGCGTAGGTCTACACAAACAGTATTACACTCAGAGTCTTCACATGATCTTCTCTTTCTGTCTGGTGATCCTCTGGTGTTTTATACCTTGGTCTTACTTGCCAGGTCTTCTTTTTCTTGCCGAAGGTTTGAGAGATACTTTTCTCGGATCACTGCAGGCTTCAGATACCTTTCTCGGACCATTCAAGGCTTGAGGGATACCTTTCTCGGATTATTCAAGGCTTGAGGGATATTTTTCTAGGATCATTCAAGGCTTGAGGTATACTTTTATACGTTCATTGAAGACTTGAGGGATACTTTTATAGGCTCACTAAAGGCTTGAAGGATACCTTTCTCGTATCATTCAAGGCTTGGGGGATACTTTCTCCGATCACTGAAGGCTTGAGGGATACGGGGATACCTTTCTCGGGTCAAGCAGCGATCGAAACTTATGATTTTTACAGGAACAAGCGCTAAACCCACATGAAGTTAAATCCTATGCATGTTAATCATACATGTTGTATATGTGCCATACACCACCTGGAGGATGGAAGGTGATCAGATTTGATCCGAGGAAGGGGAGGGATAGCTCCAATTCCCTGAATCAACAGAAGCTATGACGTCACTATCTAATGCAGCATTGAAATCACTACCCAAGGTAGCAATGACGTTACTAAGACAGGCACTATCCAAGGCAAAACTGAAGTGACCACGTCAGCGCTGAAGTGACCACGTCAGCGCTGAAGTCACAGACATGTCACATGTTATGAAACAAGAGAGGGTAGAGAGATGGCAGGTGGTCTCACCTTTTGATCTGGTGTTGTGTGTGCGGTCAGTGACCTCCTCGTAGACGTGTGCCACGTTCTGCACACTGATCAGCTCTGACAACAGCATGGTGGACAGCGGTGCCAGACAAGCACAAGTGTGGTGCCAAGTACACACAAGGTTTGGCTGTTGACGGGGGAGCCAGTTAAGTCTGGCTGTCGATGAGGGTGCCAGTCAAGCACGAGAGTGGGGAGCCAACAATGTACAAGGCTTGGCTGTTGACGGGGGTGCCAGCCAAACAAGTGTGTGATGCCAACTGCACACAAACAAGGCTTGGTTCTGCAGCCAGTTGTTGAGAGGAACGGCTGGGGTGAGGGTCTGGCAACACTAGGAGCAAGGTTCCTGATTCCAGAGGGTGCTGGGGAGGGCGTAGGGGATGAGTTAAGGGGTGTAGAGGATGGGTTAAGGAGTGTAGGGGATGGGTTAAAGGGTGTAGGGGACGCTGGGGAGAGTGTAAGGGACGTTATGGAGGTGTTAAGGAGTGGGATAGAGGGCGTTGGTAGAACCACCTTCCTCTGCCACCTAGGTACGCACTGCCACCTAGGTACGCACTGCCACCTAGGTACGCACTGCCACTTAGGTACGCACTGCCACCTGGGTACGCTCTCAGCCTCGCTTCAAGACAAAAGCGATTCGGGATACTGGCGTTTGTGTGGGAAGTGTTGTGGAGATCAGTGGGTGGGTGGGAGGTGGAGTGTTTGGGGGCACTGGGGGGGGGGTTATGGAGGTACACACTGGAAGGTTCAGTAGCCCGGGGAGTGTAAAGGAGCAGCAGGTCCTGGAGGTGTGTTGGCGGTAAGGGAGGGAGGGAGGGTGTGCCGCCACCACTCACTAGTTTCACTCAGCCAGGCGCTACAGTGGGGCACCGCCACACTGATGTATCATGTAGCTCTTACTCCCGTGTATCAAGAGCACTCTGCTTCTCCAGCCCTGCCTAGATTAAGCAGCAGTAGCAGTAGCAGCAGCAGCGGGGAGGGGCAGGTCGGATCTGACTCTGCTGGTGGCCGCCCGTCAACTGTCTGCCAGGGCACTACGATGTCCGAAGTCCCTCACACACACACACATACACACACACACACACACACAAGCACCAACATACACACAAGCACATACACACACACCTCTGCGTCTGTAGCTGCGTTCCTCTTGGGCGTAGCTTGTTACGCCGCTGATGAGTACGCCCACAACTACCTTCAAAAGCGTGACACACGCTCGCTCGCGCGCGCAGAGGGAGAGGAGAGAGTAATCCACACTTACGCAGCTCACGCACTCTCCGTCCTCATGCTACGCTTGCGCCACACTGACTAAACACACCGACGCGGCGTTCTCGCAAAAAAAAAATCGGGGTAGGTAGCGGCAGCGAGCGTCGGGATGGGTGGGGATCGCTCAGGCGGGCGGCAGGATCGGTCAGGAGCGGCAGAGAGGCCTACTCTACTGTGGCCGAGACATTATGATACAGTTCGAGTGGCTACACATACTTGCCCCACACACCAACGCTGACACCAACAACCTCCTACCCAGTTCGCCAACCACCCAGACAACTACCCACTCAACTATCCTGTCAGCCTCACCGCTCAACTAGAATGCTAGCCAATCTGTTATTGATCTTAGGAGGCTGTGGGCGTCGAGGGGTTTTCAACAGGAGGAGGCTAGTCCCTCTTACTACCACTGGTGGAGAGAGATAGCTAGTCCTCATCACAACCAACTGGTGAGGAGAGGGAGCTAGTCCCTCTCACCATCACCAACTGGTAGAGAGAGAGAGGGAGCTAGTCCCTCTCACCACCACAAACTGGTGGAGAGAGGGAGCTAGTCCCTCTCACCACCACCAACTGGTAGGGAGAGAGGGAACTAGTCCCTCTCACCACCACCAACTGGTAGAGAGAGTGGGAGCTAGTCCCTCTCATCACTACCAGCTGGTGGAGAGACGGAGTTTAGCCACTGTCATCACTACCACCACGATTATTTGGTGGGGAGAAGGAGGCTTACCCCCTCTCACTACCATGCACTCATCGCGTCAACTTTGGTGGAAGAGAGGGGAGGGGGGAGGTGGTCAGTTTCGCCACCACTCCCTCACTACCATGTCAACTTTGTTGCAGAGGTGTGAGCAACGCTCACACCTCTGCAACACAATTGTCCTCAAATATTTGTTAAGTTATACCATGAATTAAGGAAAGATCCCGGACTTCACTTTACGAAACAAAGCGATAGTAATTATGATCAAGGTAGATTATAGTGGAAAAATGAACGTTATTAGAAGACAAGGGTACTTAGTGGCCCTTAGGAGTAAGCGCTAAAGTAACAGTGGTCATATAGAGCCTGGGGGAACAGAGGCACTTAGGTACCACCCAACGAAGGGAAGGATAAGTTCAGTTCCTTGGATCAAGAGCCCCTCACCGGAATCGAGGCATCCCACCTTCCTTAAAGGAGTCCCATCACGAATCACACAATATGCAGAATTTAGCCACGGTAACATGCAGATATGGGAGATGTGATTATCCACACCCGGGAGATGTGATTATCCACACCCGGGAGATGTGACTATCCACACCCGGGAGATGTGATTATCCACACCCGGGAGATGTGATTATCCACACCCGGGAGATGTGATTATCCACACCTAGGGATGTGACTATCCACACCCGGGGATGTGACTATCCACACCCGGGGGATGTGACTATCCACACCCGGGAGATGTGATTATCCACACCCGGGGGATGTGACTATCCACACCCGGGGGATGTGACTATCCACACCCGGGGGATGTGACTATCCACACCCGGGGATGTGACTATCCACACCCGGGGATGTGACTATCCACACCCGGGAGATGTGACTATCCACACCCGGGAGATGTGATTATCCACACCCGGGAGATGTGATTATCCACACCTAGGGATGTGACTATCCACACCCGGGGATGTGACTATCCACACCCGGGGATGTGACTATCCACACCCGGGGGATGTGACTATCCACACCCGGGGGATGTGACTATCCACACCCGGGGATGTGACTATCCACACCCGGGGATGTGACTATCCACACCCGGGGGATGTGACTATCCACACCCGGGAGATGTGATTATCCACACCCAGGAGATGTGATTATCCACACCTAGGGATGTGACTATCCACACCCGGGGATGTGACTATCCCACCCGGGGATGTGATTATCCACACCCGGGGGATGTGACTATCCACACCCGGGGGATGTGACTATCCACACCCGGGGATGTGACTATCCACACCCGGGAGATGTGATTATCCACACCCGGGAGATGTGACTATCCACACCCGGGGATGTGACTATCCACACCCGGGAGATGTGACTATCCACACCCGGGGATGTGACTATCCACACCCGGGGATGTGACTATCCACACCCGGGGGATGTGACTATCCACACCCGGGAGATGTGATTATCCACACCCGGGAGATGTGATTATCCACACCTAGGGATGTGACTATCCACACCCGGGGGATGTGACTATCCACACCAGGGGGATGTGACTATCCACACCCGGGGGATGTGACTATCCACACCCGGGGATGTGACTATCCACACCCGGGATGTGACTATCCACACCCGGGAGATGTGATTATCCACACCCGGGAGATGTGACTATCCACACCCGGGGATGTGACTATCCACACCCGGGGATGTGACTATCCACACCCGGGGGATGTGACTATCCACACCCGGGAGATGTGACTATCCACACCCGGGAGATGTGACTATCCACACCCGGGAGATGTGATTATCCACACCCGGGAGATGTGACTATCCACACCCGGGGATGTGACTATCCACACCCGGGGATGTGACTATCCACACCGGGGATGTGACTATCCACACCCGGAGATGTGACTATCCACACCCGGGGGATGTGACTATCCACACCCGGGGGATGTGACTATCCACACCCGGGAGATGTGACTATCCACACCCGGGAGATGTGACTATCCACACCCGGGGATGTGACTATCCACACCCGGGAGATGTGACTATCCACACCCGGGGGATGTGACTATCCACACCCGGGGGATGTGACTATCCACACCCGGGGGATGAAAAGATACGTTGAGAGAACACTGTCACTTCAGAGACGAGTCACGGAGACATGTGTCACTGCACTCGACGACATACACCCACAATATCCAATATTTGTTATTTAACATGAGAGGCAGTGACCATTACAGTGACAAACACCAACACAAACATGAGAAACAGTGACCATTACAGTGACAAACACCAACACAAACATGAGAAACAGTGACCATTACAGTGGACAAACACCACACAACATGAGAAACAGTGAACTTACAGTGACAAACACCAAAACAAACATGAGAAACAGTGACATTACAGTGACAAACACCAACACAAACATGAGAAACAGTGACCATTACAGTGACAAACACCAACACAAACATGAGAAACAGTGACCATTACAGTGACAAACACCAACACAAACATGAGAAACAGTGACCATTACAGTGACAAACACCAACACAAACATGAGAAACAGTGAACATTACAGTGACAAACACCAAAACAAACATGAGAAACAGTGACCATTACAGTGACAAACACCAAAACAAACATGAGAAACAGTGACCATTACAGTGACAAACACCAACACAAACATGGAGAAACAGTGACCATTACAGTGACAAACACCAACACAAACATGAGAAACAGTGAACATTACAGTGACAAACACCAACACAAACATGAGAAACAGTGAACATTACAGTGACAAACACCAACAACAAACATGAGAAACAGTGAACATTACATTGACAAACACCAACACAACATGAGAACAGTGAACATTACAGTGACAAACACCACACAAACATGAGAAACAGTGAACATTACAGTGACAAACCCAACACAAACATGGAGAAACAGTGAACATTACAGTGACAAACACCAACACAACATGAGAAACAGTGAACATTACAGTGACAAACACCAACACAACATGAGAACAGTGAACATTACAGTGACAAACACCAACACAACATGAGAAACAGTGAACATTACAGTGACAAACACCAACACAAACATGAGAAACAGTGAACATTACAGTGACAAACACCAACACAAACATGAGGAAAGAGTGAACATTACAGTGACAAACACCAACACAAACATGAGAAACAGTGAACATTACAGTGACAACACCAACACAAACAGGGAGAAACAGTGAACATTACAGTGACAAACACCACACAAACATGAGAAACAGTGACCATTACAGTGACAAACACCAACACAAACATGAGAAACAGTGAACATTACAGTGACAAACACCAACACAAACATGAGAAACAGTGAACATTACAGTGACAAACCAACACAAACATGAGAACAGTGAACATTACAGTGACAAACACCAACACAAACATGAGAAACAGTGAACATTACAGTGACAAACACCAACACAAACATGAGAAACAGTGAACATTACAGTGACAACACCAACACAAACATGAGAAACAGTGAACATTACAGTGACAAACACCAACACAAACATGAGAAACAGTGAACATTACAGTGACAAACACCAACACAAACATGAGAAACAGTGAACATTAC